TTTCATTCCCAACACCGCATGCGTTACCACTGTCTGTAAAATAAGCGTGATCATTAATGTATGTGAACGTAACGCAATGTCACTGTTGACAGAAAGCATAATTAAATCATTAAATATTGAGCATGGTTATTGATATAAGCACACGTATAATAAATGTGTTAACATTAGAAATGTCCCGAAATTAAACAATTACAAAACATTACAATTTATAATTGTTCGCATTAGACCTTATTCGTGAATGGCAGTCAAAATCTCGTTAAGAGCGAAAGAACCGCGAGACTTGTGACCGGACAGCCAACCCATCCACCATCCCACCCACCATCCCGTCCACCAAGAATATGTTCCATATCATTAACATCGTCGCGTCCACAGTTCTTAACCATGGTATTTAGAACGGTGGGCTCGAAGGCGGTATAAATGGAACACTATTTGAGGGTGAAAAAAGTCCCATAGTTTCCTCGCTCTCTACGAGATTTCAGCAGCCATTTGTGAAAAGTGTCTAACCATGCAGTGTTCACGCATGAAATTCATTGTAATGTTCAATTGTATAGAAGTTGCAACCTGAATATTAACGTATGTTATTTCTTCATATTACAATTACACTGTTATGTTAAGTGTTTGAATAATTATTATTGACGCAATAATTATTATTATGAAATTTAATAGCATATTACAGCTACAGACAGACAATGTTAAACGCGTTACTTTTTGATGCATGTTAAAATATTTTGAGTTTATATATTAGTGATTATTTTCCGTTATAAGCCCACTTCCCAAAAGAGTTAAAACAAATCATTAACCATTTGCACTACTTGTAGAACAAACTTACGATTCTGGCAGTGATCGCCAGAGTACTCATCAAGGCAGTAGCAAACATATCCGGGAGAATCATCGGATGCTATGCAGTAGCCATCGTTTTGGCATGGATTGTTATCGCAGGGGGAGGTCACTGGTTTGTATTAGAAATTTAAACGTGTGGTAAATTATTAGATAATATTATGCATACACACAAACGTAAGCATGAAGAAAAGAACGCCACACAAAAAGACACGATACAATTACAGAAGGCAATAATAATATAAACACTACAGACAAAAAACAGCTACAGATATTCACTACGCTTATTTGTAATACTAAAATACAATTACAATCTAATGTTTAGCATATGACTCTAACATGTTAGATCTTGTTCTATAGAATCTACCTGTAGTTTCACATCGTGTGCCCTCATAGCCAGTAGGACAAGAACACGAATATGTGTCGTCTGTTGCGGTGCATACACCATTGTTTAGACACGGAGACGAGTTACAGGGTCCTGCGTTATCTATAAACCCAGTAGGTAATATTGAAAGTATGTAAATCACACCTAGTATGATTAATTATGACATACATGGAGCATGTTGCATATATAAACAATATTATATAAGAATGTTTATATTGAAAAAAGGAGAGGTTTTTTTTCTGCGATATCGCTACTAGAGGTTTTATTCATGAAGGTATGGAGACAACACTTATATCATTTATGTAGTGTTTCAAATACTATATACCATCGCTTAGTGTTTAACAACTAATATAACGTTGCATAGTAACATAATCGTGGGCAAGTATTACCTGTTTCGCATCTGTCTCCAGTCCACGGAGAAAGGCACTGACAGACGAATTCCTCATTGTTGTTATACGAGCTGCAGGTACCGCCGTTCAGGCACGGTGTGCTCAGACATGGATCAGAAGCTATGTGCAAAGACAATAATACATATGTCAGTCTTGGAAGAACATATATGTCATGAAGAAAGATTAATCACAAATTACATTTAACTGGCAATACTACGACATATGTTACCGAATATCAAAGTTAAAATTAACACCAATTATATCAAATGATAGACTGGCGCAGTCGGGGCGATTAATTTGTTTTTGTTGTTTAAATAAAACGAAATTTCGCGAAATGGAGGTGTTAGCGCGAAATCCCCTGTAACTGCGAAATCACCACGACTGGATTAATCTGCATGACCCTCTACAGACACTGCAGGAACCCGTTGATTTTTCAACGGGTAATTATGTTAATGAGTGTTTTAATTGACAATCATCTAAGCCAATCACAACGTCTCTTCAACTGACCTCTGCCCGAGAAGACGTCGGCTGATTGTAGCAGCCGATTTTTTTTTTTTAATTCTACGACTAGTTCGAGTTACTTTTTTACACATTATGATGAATTAGAAACGACGACTACGACAAACTCGAATTTCAACGTGCCGACATGTTGAGTCTGCAGTGTGACCTTTACCATGTTGACCTCATTATGCACGTACTAGTAATTCCGCGCCCACCTCATTATAATATGTGCATTCATGAATATTTAATAGCAATGAATTTTCTGCAGAATAAACCAGTCGCGAATTTTTTAATTTTATTTAAACTATAAACACAAATTAATCGCCCCGACTGCGCCAGTCTAATTAAATGACATCAAAACTTTGATGCACGTGGCTTGTAAACAATAACTGTAACTATAACCTAGCTTGTTAAGCAGACATCTCGATCTCTTTTGCTGTTTGCTATCGCTCTTCTTTAAGGTTTATCTTTACTGTATATTTTGAGATCACACCCATTATCAAAACCAAAATGTATTTTACCCAAATATCACAGTAGGTGTTTATGTCTTTATATAAAATGTATGTTGATGGAGGAACTCGTGGTGATCAGTTTCGTTCTCATATTCGAAATAAATTCACCGTGATGTGAAATATTATATCCTTCCATGTATGACGTAAAGTTGCCATTTGATACAGTGAACATTATACATATTCTATATATCAAACTTCAAATGTAATATCAGGATATACATAATATCGAGAGAAATAGTTTGTCATTATACAAATTATAAAACAAATACCATGTAAAATAAAAAAATAAACACACACACACATATATATGATCATGCGCACTGACAGGTAGAACCTCGATGAATATTAATATTGACGAATGTCAATATGACATCGTTCATTCAAACGGGGTCCTGTGTCAATGTTCATGTATATATCCCCTCACCAATTTGGCACACATATCCCATGTATCCGTGCGCACAGTGACATATAAATATAGTGTAAGAATACACCTCGCAAACGCCTCCGTTTTGGCAAGGATTGCTATAGCAGGGTGTTTCTATGGATTAAATGAAGATTATTCATTGTGGTTATCGATAGATCTATTTACTGCATGCAATTAACACCAAAGGAAAGCAAAGGAGAGTTCGTAGAAGTGAATACATGCAAATTCATGCTTGGTTTTAAAACTGAACAGAGCATATAGATTTAGGATAAAAAGTGCAAACTCACACAGTTCACGCAACACCACATCATTAATCATATTATGAAGTACAGTGTATATAGCACTGTATATCATGTGTATGAAGAGAAGCCTGTGTCGATAGTAACCCACATTCAGAGAGATGTTTAATGATTTCGCGCTGCAACCCACCAATTAAACCAGTAACCCACATAACCCATCTCCAGAATGATTTTATAATTTGCATGTATCTACCGATTTCACAGTTTAATCCCGCATACATGTCAATGCACGAGCATATATAAATATTGTCGTCTACGACTGTGCAAGTTCCTCCGTGTTGGCATGGTTCAGTAACGCAAGGGTCCGCTGTTAGAAAATTAAAGTTAGTTAAATTAGGTTGTGCGTTATTTGCCATCAATGGTTTTATTTTTTGTGTCAGTGCTGTTTCCATGGTTATAATTCGATTTGGTTATCAATTTTAACGGATGACATTATTGTTGAATAATTTATTGATATCGTTTTAAATTTCGATTGCACTTGTTTTCAGCGAAAAGTTTTTTGTTTTTTTTATTTACCCCATTCCGTAGTGCAGTTATCTCCCGACCAACCATCAGCACAACTGCATAAATAGAGGTTAATGTTGACGACAGTGCACTCGCCGCCATTTTGACACGGGTTTGGAGCACACGGACTAATCGGCACAGGAGCTATAGGCAGCAAGGTGTAGCATATACAAGGTTAGTTGGAAGAAACGTGGTATTAGTACTAATATATTACATTAAATGGTATTTAGGAAAGAACGATAGATTATTAGTCATATATGAGTAAATTACTAGTTTTTGAAATGGGCTAAGACTACAATGGAGAACAGAATAATGCATATTAGTACGCATATTTCAACAGATTATATACTTCTAACTTTGAAAACTTATATTTAATTCAAACATGCACACACTCTATCAGGTTTTACGTCAAACACGCGACATGCACAATTCACAAAAGTATATATAAGACATATTGGAAGTCGTATTCTGATAGTACTTACGGATTTGGCAATGATCGCCTGTATATCCATTGACGCAGGAGCAAATATAGCTGTCATAGTCACTATTTGGGGTACACGCCCCCGCGTTTTGACACGGGAGACTTTCGCATGGATTTGACGCTGAAATACAAAATTTCAGTGGTCAGTAGTATGAGTATGAAATGAGATAAATACATTGATGGGATGCAACTAAATGAAGTGCGTTCACAGAAGAAATCTTTTGCGGAATTACTCGGAATTTGTCACTGAAAGTTTTCCAACAGACATTACAAAACGCCAGGAAGTGACTTACTATCGACAACTATGTAATGATCTGTCTCAATGAACGCACCTCCAGGAGTGCGAGATGAAATGTGCAATGATATATGTGTTATGGGTGATAGGATGACGAGGGTAATTTATGCAGATATGGTAATTTGCATGCAATAAATACTTTAAAATACTTTATTTTAGCTGGAATTTATTTTCACTGATTAGTGACGAGTTGAATGTAAAATATAGTGAAACAAATATATTCACTGGATTTTATTTTCACTGAATCATCCCTTCAGCGAAAATTAAGTCCAAGCGAAAATAAAGTATATTACAGTAGATGGGAATATGAGCTCCCTGTGCTTCTAATTGTGCATTGTGGTATATGATGGTGTAGATCGGGGTATGAGGTAACTAACTATTGATACTGTTAAGCGCGAGAGTGCTTTGTTACACTTATCTGTATATTTTTTTATAAGTGCACGTTACGTATTTGTTTGTGATCTTGGTCACATTTAACGCTTACTCCGCGCATGTGGTATTTTACAGAGCATGCAGATCTACTATGCTGGACCACCACCGTGCCTCCTACATGAATGATCGTGTTAATCTTACATTCAAGCTCGCACCGAATTCCGATGAACCCTTGGGGGCAAGCACAGGTGTATGCCGTGTTGTCAGCATTTGTTGAGCATGCCCCACCATTTAAACATGGAGAGCTTTCACATGGATTCGTTCCGGGATTTACAGCTGAAACAAATCATTGCATTACTCAATCAATACGCCATTTTAAGACACACAAGCAAGTTAGAGTAGGTAAAGACGGCGGCTTCCTGTGCTATAATGATCTGCAATGAAGTTTGATGAGCATTATGATTTAGACATGCTTATGATTCAGCGCAAGCATGTTTTGCATTTCATGATCAGATGTCAGTGATGTAATATGTAATGTTCGACATGTGTAGCCTTATGATGTATCTACCGAATGAAGAGCGTGTTGCCATGCAAGACTATTGGCCGCCATTTTGTTTCTTGAAGTATGTTAAACTAAAAAAATACAAATGATGAAGTTAGTTGAGATGTGCTGAGATGTTGCAAATCTTAAGGAGGTGTGTATCCTTACTATAAAATTACCAAAAATTACATTGCTATAGCAGAACTGAGTACTAGAATACATTTAATTCTATGCCATGCAGATGGTGTGAAATAGATGAGTGGTCGTGAATGAATCATAAATATGTAAATGTGTATTTTATGCTTTTTGAGGTCATTTGATTATAAATAAAGCGTTGCATCGATCCAGTAGCTGTCGTATGTGTAATGCAGTTCAATATATCGTGGATAGAGCAGTGTCATATGTGCAAGGGATGTTGCATTGTCGTTTTGAAGTGTAATATTGTAATTACCCAGAATTTTGTGAAATAGTGTTTTTCAAAACAGAGCATTGGTTTAATTGTTGGTGAGATTCGGGTCAAAGTCTGTCTTTGTCATGTTGCTGTGATTTGTCCATGGTGGGTTTTAAGTGGGATCTTACTGGTGCAATCAAGTCCTGTCCACGCTGGTAGGCAATCACATTGGTACCCAATGCCCGAGTCCAGGGCTTGGCAAGTGCCGCCATTTTTGCAGGGAATACTAAGACAAGGATTTGGAGGTAGTGGTGGTGTCGTCACTGGTGGAGCATATGTTGTCATTGCTTGCAAGAAAAATAAAAGAATAAATTATAGATATTTTTTTGTGATTTTTATTATGCTGATAGTTCCTTTTAAGATGACCTATTAGGAGCACAGCTATGCCTGTATGAAAAAACAAAAAATGCTTTGAGATTATTACATATAGAAAACATATTGCAACATTCAGTGGACAAAAGTGCAGCCATTGCATGATCCTATATCACAAAGCAAGAAAGCAGAAGTCGTTATTTACATTTATCTTCTATAATTTGTACGCGCGATGCTGCTTATACGCATTGGAGAGATCAGTCAATTTAAACTGCGTTGCATGAGAACGTACTGTTGATTGAGTGACTTTGATTTTCAATTACACAATAGTGATTTTAATTATGATTGATGAACATCTATTTGAAACACACATCACCTAATCATGCTTAGTTAGTAGACTATGCAAAACTTGTTATAAGTTGAATCAACAAAATGACACACAGCACTTCACAGAATAGGTGAACCATGCATACACAACAGAAGGATGTACAGCAATGGAACCATGAGACAAAACACTACACAACATGTAAGAACAACAACCAATCATCAAGCTAATCAAAACGATTGGACAAGCCAATAATAAACACTTAACTCCTTGATCATGCTTCAATTTGAAAAAAAAAAAAAACAACAACAAAAACGTCTTTTTGGGGAACAAATGAAACTACAGAACATATAAGCATGCAATTATTAATTACCAATTTCACAATTAGCTCCTAGCCACTTTGATGTACAAACACAAAAGTAAGTTGAATTTTCATAGTCATTGAAACAGGTAGCACCATTCAGACATAGTTCACTGCTACAGTAGTCAACTAGAAAGCGGTGAAAGAGAAAGTTTAAATTTCTACCAAATCCCTTAAAGTGATAGTTAAACACAGGTAATTATTTATTTTCGTTTTTACTGAGTAAAATATCAAGGTGAAACAAAAAAATATGCCATATCATACGTATCTTATCTCATTAAATATAGTTCAATATTTGATAACATGCATGCATTTATTTCGACATAGAGTTCTACAGACAACTATATTGGACAACACACACGCAGACACGTGACAGACATGTGATTACCAAGTTCGCATGTACTTCCTGTCCATTCTACTGGGCATGCGCACTCTGCAGCTGTGTCAGTGTTGCTGCAGACGCCACCATTCATACAGGGGTTGTCAATCACACAATAGTCAACTGAAAACGAGAAAATATTTCTCAGTGTGTATTATTAGCATATTGCTAGATGGTTCATTCGATGACCATGAGTTATTTTATCAGAAAAGTTGGTGATATCGTTAAATCATTCTACAAGTCTGTTATTTTGTACTGTATTGCCGGCACTCATACAATATGCATTGATACATTTTCACGAAATGGAACAAACATGCACTATAAATAACTCCTACCCATCTCGCAGTGAGTCCCTGTCCAGCCTACTTGACATGCGCATTCATTGCCATCTGCCATGTTTGTGCAAGTTCCACCATTAACGCAGGGTGTAGTTAAACAGTAGTTAACTGGCATACAATGAATGAATGAATGAAGATGACATTTAAGTAGCAATGAGATGGTGTATGTCAATGATAAGTATGTTAATGGGAAGATTTCAATCGTGTGTACAATGTACAACAGTTCATATGCAGATTATTAACTTGACGACAAAGGAATTACGTAAATGAACATTTGCTGGCAATCATACCAAATATATTAACAGTGCAATGTGTATTTATAAATAGAACATTACCCTGATCACAGTTTGTTCCCAACCAGCCTGACACACAGGTACATGTGTATCCGTTAGCGTTAACTTCGCATACTCCACCGTTTTTACAAGGAGTGTCCATGCAGTGGTCAACTACCATTAACAAACATGCAAAAGGTGTGTGTTAATTTCAGCAAAAGGTGTGTGTTAATGATTTACTCTGAAAACTCACGAATGCACGAAATATCACAATTCACTGTAGACACATTAAACATTTACGTGACAATGACAACAGAGAATAAATTAACACGATGAAGATACAGAATAAATTCAATTATAATGGTATGTTAATTACATTGTGTAAAAAACATTAGAAAGGTTAAATTCAACTTTTGGTTCAAATAAATAATACTGATACAGGTTTTGTGTGCAGAATTGTATTGCATGTTTCACAAACGACAATAATACCCATAATGCAATGCATTACCCCATGTACAATCTGTATTGGTCCATCCTGATGCGCAGACGCACTGGAACGTTGTGTCCGTGTTTGTACATGCTCCTCCATTTTTACATGGTACCACATAGCAGTAGTCGACTATAGTGCAGCATTTGCAGTTATTGAGAATAAACATAAGTTAGAGGGGAGAATAATTCCGGAACATATCAGATGCAAACACATGCAAAGTGAACACACGAATGAGAATAAGAAAACATGTATCTAACTTATCCTTAACAAAAAATGTCACAAGAGATAGGAATCCAGCCATCATAATCACGCAAGAACTCGTATGAAGGTAGAACTTTAAACCAAATACACCAAACAGTTAAAAAATTGAATAATTTAAAAACAAAATACAGAGTAAGGTGTATTTACAGTACATAGTGAAACTAGATGGATCATGCAAATTAGAAAATCATTATTTGTATTTACACACAGTGATTTTGAACTTTAAAAAACTGAAGCAGAACCAACAACTAGGCAGATAACTTTACAGCATATATTCACACACAGAGAAACCAACGCACTTGAGGCAAAAAAGCACTGAGTGTTGAAATTCTAAATTTATACAGTAAAAAGTAGAATAATTATATTAAGAGCGCACTGTATGAACAAATAATTCATGCAAATTAAAATAAATTAAAATGTTCTTTGCACACACAGAGGCTTTTAACTTAAAAATAGAAGCAGAACCAATTACCAAGCAGAGAAAGTGCCCTGCATATAACAACACAAAGAAAAGCCAGGACACTATAGACAACTGAACAATTCGTGCTGAAAACCAAACTCCACACGACATGCGAGAATTTACCCTGTTCACAGTTCGTTCCTCTCCAGCCACCAGAGCATATACACGTGTACACAGTGTCTGAATTAACACACGTGCCAGCGTTCTGACATGGCGCGGATACACAGAAGTCCACTGAAATGCAAGGTGTGAGGGTGTGCCGTTACCAAAAACAGAAGTTGCCTACATTTGTAAACGGAAGTAGCCACGCAGTTCTCCGTTGTTAAACAATTCAGCCGAGTATATATAATCAACTATTTAACAATCAGTATGCCAAGAACTTTAAGCGACATCGAACTACTATATGAATCAATTCATACCCTGTTCACAGTCTGTTCCAATCCAACCTGTCTGACAATCACAGTCGTAACCATCTATTCGATTTGTACATGTGCCTTGGTTTAAACAGGGAGCACTTAAACAATAATCCACTGTTGTGTAAAAAAAGACGGATATTATCGCATCATAAGGGAATCCGAGGAATTAAAATATTACCACTTTAAAGGTTGCTATCTTTATACACGAAATTTAAAAGTCTGTCCTTCATGTTTTATTGTAAAAAACGACGGTTATGTAAAAGCGATATGAATAACGTAGTATTTTAGGTTAATATTACAAATCTGAGTATTTATACGGATGTTGTAATTTATATGATTTTTTTAGGTGACTATGGGAATAAATAAAACAAACTGCTTTGAAATGAGACTTTACCCTGGTTACATTGTGTTCCAAGCCATCCCGTCGTGCACGTGCATGTGAAACCACCTGAATTGACCTCACATAATCCTGCGTTCTGACATGGGTCACTCGTACAGTGGTCAACTAGTAGCAATATGAGACACAGTTAACAAATCAACAAATGGTAGCTACCAACGCGTTCAAATAACCAGCGACAAACAAAGTAAAACCAATATACTGCTTGAAAGTTGTATTTACAAAAGTGGAATTGAACTTGAATCAAATGGGGTGTCTGTATCAATGTGACGAAGAATTACACACAACTTTTCAATCATCATTAAATTAATATACACACAAATACTGAGATTA